GAATCTTTTTATCAAACCAACTTCTTTATCAACCCGACCGGTAGACATGCTGATCATATTATCACTGTCTCGCACTTGAAGTCCGTTGAATCCCAGCACTTAATGGATAAGGGTTATGTTGATGAAGAGAGTTTAACATTTTGCGTTATAATGCGTCACGCACACCACATCTCAAAGCTTTGTCTTCTTTCTGCAGAACATTATGACGTCATAATAGCAATATGAACTTTGTAATTAAACATTGCAATGTGAGTTAATTATCTATAGGGAGGGCCGTTTGAATACTGATGACTATCGCACTTTATTCCTGGAATCATGAAAGCATTGGTATATATTGTCACAGTATAATGGATGTTAACGTGTACTTACTGTTTTCGAGCTGGATGTTTCGAACAGCTTTTAGAAACCTATGCATTGAAAACACAGAAGGTTTATCATCGAACGCCCACACAGCTTTTTACTCTTAATGTGTTTTGTTCCTCCAGACTGTTAACATACTCCGTTAAGTCGCATTAACGAACTGAATGCCTCATCTCGATCGAGTGATTGTCTTTGAAAATTCTTTGTCGAGGTCTTGATAGTCTCAATAATTAAAAGAACGGGCTCATTCTTATAACTCATCAGCCACATAGCTCCACTGAAACCTACTATAAGTATATCATTTATGTATTTACTTCCATTTAACCCCCCCCCCCCCCCCCCCCCCCCCGACCCCCCACCCCCACCCCTCCCCAAAGGCCGAGATAATGTAGCCCATGAGGCAATGTTTTTGACCAGCAATATGCTACTCAGATGTCACTCAAACAATGGTTGTTGTATCCTTCCCCGTTCCAGGAACACCTGGCCTAATCACTGATTTTCAGTAGTCCATTCATATAATTGTCACTACTATGTTGCCTTTCACGGCCATTGGAATCTGTTTCGGCGGATAATGGAGACATGTGGATAATGAAACTGTGGCTAATGCGTAACCGTGGGATGTTTGTTTGTTTGTTTATTGTTTAACGCCACACTCAGCAATATTCAAGTTATATGACGAAGGTCTGTAGATAATCGAGTCAGGACCAGACAACACAGTGACCTCATCGTAAAGCCACAGCTACGGAGACTGCAGGACGCATCCCTGGTTTGAGGAGGATATCGGACCAGAGCATCAATCTACGCAATTGGCATCGATGACGTGCATCAACCAAGTCAGCGAGCCTGACCACCCGATCCCGTTAGTCGCCTCTTACGACAAACATTGTCGCCTTTTATGACAAGCATGGGTTGCTGAAGACCTTTCCTACCCCGGATCTTCACGGGTCCCGTGGGATTAAACTATGGCAGATCGAAACCTTGGAGGGGTCGATCTGTTTCGCCTGTCTAATCCTCATCGACACATCCTGCTCGAGGTCGTCCACGACAGCACTCGGAATACCAAGCTGACTAACAGTGCAATGATAACACATATATAATAATGAACAACAAGGACAGACAAGGAGACAATGGCGTTGCTCTGGACATGGGACATATGGGCGTCATGAACCGACACAGCTCAGAGGATGATCAATCACGACACTAAATGTCATACTATAAATAACAGTAATTAACGGTAAGTGATATGGTAGCCCAGGTCGGTTGACAGTCAATATACAATGAAATGTTGGTGAGGATTTACAACGGGGATTAGCATCTTATGAATAAATGGAGACATATATATGTCCTGGCCTTTGGAATCAAAGGTTCTTCAGACAATGGTTGTCCCAAATTAGTCGCTATGACATTATTATCGCGGGGACTGTCTATCAATACACTCTTCAAAAAAGAAACGCACAGGTATTATGTAGTTCATTGAACCTGACCACACAAAAAATCCGGTATATGAATTGGAAATGTGTTATTGGAAAATGTTGGTGGCCTGATATTCGACAAACGATGTGTCAAAAACGAAGCCATTGTCGATTTGCAATGTCTTAAACGGCATTGTTTTCACACTTGTTCAAATATGCCATGGAGGAAAACAGTAAAGGATTCGTACACGTGGTAGTAGCTATAAAAAGGTAAGCATGAGCCAATAATTTGTCATTCAATTGTCAACATTTTTCAAGTTCGAAAATGCCGAGGCTTAGCGCTCCCGATCGGAATATCGCCATAGGACGTATCCAAAGAGGGGAATCGCAGTCTGCTGTTGCACGCCACTTCAACGCCCACCACAGCACCATTTCCCGCCTTTGTGACCGATACACAAAGTTCAATTGCACTGCAGAACGTCCGAGAACCGGCCGACCAAAAGTTACAACCCCTGCACAGGATCGCAACATTCGACTGTTTCACCTACGTCATCGCAATGCCACAGCTACGGAGACTACATGACGCATCCCTGGTTTGAGGAGGATATCGGACCAGACTATCAGGAACCATCTTCGCGAGGCTGGAATCCCACCCAGAAGACCACTTATCGCCCCTGTTTTGCAACAAATCCATCGACAACGACGCTCTCGTTGGTGCCATACCTTACAGCCATGGAATTTGAGAAACTGGAGGCGAGTGTGGTTCAGCGATGAATCACGATTTCGTCTTCACCGGCGAGATGAAAGACATGATTGTTTTGCCCCATATCGTGTACGTATATTCGACAAATTCGGTGGCGGTAGTGTCAATGTGTGTGTGTGTGTGTGGGGGGGGGGGGGGGAATGTGACAGCTAATAGCTACATGAATCAAATTCTTTAACCTCACCTACTTCCAATCATTGACCGGCAGAGGGAGCTGTTTCAACAGGACAACGCTCCACCGCACACAGCTCGTGTCACGGTAGGCTACCTTCATAATGCCAACATCAACGAACGACTTGCCCTGGTCGTCGAGATCTCCAGATCTCAACCCAACTGAACACCTCTGGGATGAACTCGATCGACGTGTACGTCAACGTCAGAACACGCCGCAGACACTCCCACAACTGACCAACGTGTTACAAGCAGAATGGCGCAGAATTCCGCAGGACAGAATTCGTACACTTATCCAGTCAGTGCCGAGGAGATGCAGAGCCGTGATTGCTGCCCGGGGCGGTCACACGGATACTCGTGGCCTTATGTGACATGACAATGGACAGTTTTCAATGCCTTTGTACGACAACGTGTGGCTACCGAGCTCCAAAATTTCATATTTGTATCAATGATATTAGATGAAATATATCGACTTCATTAGGTACAATAAATTTAGATATATAAAGATATATAAATAATAATATTTTTAGTTATGGTGTCTTAAGTTGCAATATACGGTGTAATATCAGTAATACCTAATATGATACCGTATACGGCAAGTTTACACTATTTGGTATCTTTACTGGACATGTCATGTCAAAATGAAAACTTGACACTTACAAGTGGTATAAATGATAGGACCAGTACATATGCTCCCGATACAACGCTTTAATGTAAACACAATCGTGAACAATGGAATATGTAATGCACTAAATACGAACGTTTAAACAAAGATTATAGCTAAAATTGAGAGAGTTATCACAAATATGCCCGCATGTTATCAGAAATCCGGAGGCCACTGTAACCTGATAGCAGTCCGATGTTCCCTAACGAGGGGGAACTATCTTTTCTATTGCTATGTAATGTCATTGGTGTCACCTTTCTTGTATGTGACGTCATCTTATATTATGTTCTATGACGTTGCCACTTGTACTTCAGTGACCTTTTTTCTTTCTTTAAAAAATCATGTCTTTGTACATCACATTTAATGACATTAAAACACAAAACAGTGTCGAATAACGAATTTCTGTACCAGAATTGTCATATGAAATAAGTGAGGTGGGTGTTGGAATATCCAAAATGGCTGTAACTGCCCGTATACGGTCTCACATTAGGTCAGTAACCACCATCTTGGATTGTTGCTGTGGGTATACGGGCTCATATGGGGTTAGTAGTTCTGCTCTCTGATTGGTCAATCTCACTTTGAGGCATAATGAATGAGCTTCATGAATACTAAAATGTTTGTTTGATAAACACTATAAGGTGAAAACCATTTCGTAAGGCAATACATTGTTCGCGTCGTAATAAACATCCTACTTTCTGAACTGCCTCGTAATCGTGAAATGCATATTGTGAATCCTTTAGGCAACTAATCACAAAAGTATCACAATTACACATTGTTTCAGCTTATTACAATAGGACATGAATTCTGAATACTGGCTCAATAGTTGCACCAGTCTTGCTGACGCCTCTACACTTTGCACAACGTAATCTAGAAACGTAGTTATCACGACACAAGTTTGAAAAACCCGTCCCTGAAACATAATCAAATATAAGAAATATGTCTGTGTGATATTAGCTAACTAGTTTGTGAAACAAGTGGCTCGAGCTAGATGTGAACTTCCATCCGCAGTCACAAACGTATTTACCTTATAGAAGCATCAGTGTTGTGTGAGGAAGATGATACAGAAGATGAATTAAGTGACTGCAGACTGTTAATAGTTTTAAGGGATCTTAGCTTCCACGGCAATGGTATCAGAAGCTAGCAGAGAAAAAATTGACCTCGGGTTTAAGAAAGACAATAAATACATGTCATGTTGAACATGCTTGATGTCCTCAAAAATATATGAACTATGATGTTGGTCCGTCAAACACATTAAATTGTTATAACATTATAAACGTAAGTAGGACATAGATAGTCGTTACAGCCACTTCATAAGCTGCAGATGGGAGCAATTATAGGTAATAGTTGGGGGTCGCTATTGCTATATATTATACCACGAGGCCAAATGTTCATTCAACTATTCTGAATATGTTCAGGGCATGGATGAATTATAACACGAGAAAGATAATATTGCTCATCAAATTTGAATTTGGTTAATAATGAAGCTACAACTAACCATATCTTACGAACATGTCTCGATAAAATCTATCCATCCCAAGACGAAGTTACTATATGACAAATACCAATAATGTTTCCTATTCAAGCTGAACATGTGTCAAAGATACAGGAGAGAAAAGAGAGACGTTGTTACCTTCCACTGTCCCGAAAACCACCAGAAACAGAATTGTAAAGAGTCCATAGATAAATCCCGACATCTTGTGACAAGCAGTAATGGTGGCTCCAGCACTGCTTCCTGTCCTACAGATGTATCGACAAAGACCTTACCGTCCTTACCGTCCACGCATCTCTAGGCACACTCACAAGCCCTCTCTGAAACACACTCGCACAATAGAACAGGAAGATCCAGCCCGGGACCCAGCACCACGACGTCGATAAACGTCACGACGGTTCACATGTGAAAGGCCTTGACGCTGGGGAGATATTGACTGCATTTCGATGCTTCTGCGAATATTGATTGCTGTCTGTTCTTGATGTTAGCAACAGGGCCGGTTGGCAATGAGTACTTCTTAAGGTTTACATTGGGTTTTTGCAATAAACAATGGATTAAAAATAGAACTGTATTTACATAATGAATCAACAAAAAATGAAACATTATTTTTATTTTATGAATTCCCTGAAACTGATTTAATAAGCCATGCATTGACAGTGTTTCAAAGCATATGGATTTAGTCTATTTTGTTAAATGCAAAATATTTCCGGACGAAAGCTTAGATTCATCTTAATTTCACCTCCGCATTAAGGGCACAGAATATCGGTATCTATGTCGGGAATTCCTGCATTCAATTTTGTAGTTGAATCCGGGTATGTGTTTTTAATACAGCGTTGTCACTCTCTAAATTATGTTTTTTTTAATCCTGTAGTCCTTCTGTATCCTCCAATACATCGCTCTTCCAGGCGTCATCTCTGATTTGAGCGATATTCAATCCATAAATGACCATCTGTCATTTTTTTTGGCCTTGCCAATATGGAACTTACGTAAAAATGACGTCAACAGTTTCGCACGGGCAGGCCACTTACGATAAAGGGAGACAGTTTGAGGAGTTGTAACACTTGTATGACAATAGTACCGTCAAAGTGTGATGTTCACAAATATCACTTTTCCCAACTTCGGAAACTTCGGCGTAAGTAAGCACCCACACAATGAACATGTATCGTGTTTGTGTAGCTCTTGGGCGTAGTGTTCTATTTGACAATTTAAACCTCGAACAATACATGTGTATTGTTGACTGTGCAGATGACGAAGTAAAACTTGTATTATAGAGCATACGAGCCTTGACAGCTGGGCGGAGTTCATGTCTTCTGTATACGAGACATAAGCTTCTGGAACCTGCGATCAATGATCTATCTGTAGACAATATATATCGTACCTAATCAAGAAATGTAAATATTCAGTATTGTCAATTTTTCTGCATAATGTTCTTGTAAATATGTTGTGATATGATTACAACTGTACAACTCCGAAATTAATGGAGGGAATAAAGATCATTCATTCATTCATTCATTCATTCATTCAGGGGCGGTCGGGTAGCCTAACGGTTCAAGCGTTCGCTCATCACGCCGAAGACCCGGGTTCGATTCCCGACATGGGTACAATGTGTGAAGCCCATTCCTGGTGTCCGCCGCCGTGATATTGCTGGAATATTGCTAAAAGCGGCGTAAAACCAAACTCATTCATTCATTCATTCATGTATTGTATATGTGTAGCTCCTGGACGTAGTGTTCAACTATATATCTCTCTGGTCGACACATGCTGCTTGCTCCTCACCATCCAAGTTGTAAACTCATGATCATTTCGAGGCGTCGTACGATACTGACTGTAGTTTGTAATCTTACTTTATATGCCACGGGAAACGTAAAGGAAAATCGTCATTCCTTGAAGGGGCACGGGTGGACCAGTCGTCTAAGGCGCAGCGATTCGCTGTACAGAGTTGCGACCCTTGGGCACGTCAGAAACCTGTGATTGTGGCTTCGAATCCCGGTTCGCCCCGAATATGTTTCTATGTTTGTCAGCACCATACCCGTGCTCTTGGGCTCCATCGAAGTGGTAAACGTCTAAAACCTGCATCACTTCGGGCTTTCCTCCCACATTAAGCTGATACGCCGTGATATGACTGGAATACTGTTAAAAGCGGCGTTAAACCCAACTCACTCACTCAGACGTATCCAGGTCAACAAACCTGATCTTTTGATTCTTGTCCTTTTTGATAAATCCAATTAAATGATTTATATCATTTAATTTTCTGTCCCGTTTGACAGTAATGTGATTGATAGGATTCAGGAAAAACATGGCAAATATGCAGACCTCACTTTCGAAATGTCACGCTTGCATCCCAAATAACAAGTTGTCCGTCTCCCCATTTTTCTTGGTTTGGTACCTCCCATATTATTGACTGAGATTGGGAGAGTATCCAGGTTTGCTACCAGGAATACAGCCCTTCTGACAATTTTGGTAATGCAGAACGCTGCAGTGTTTGGGAGTCTTCACATTCTCCGAAAAGTTCTGGGTGGGTTTGACCAGGCAGCGCATTTTGGGTGAAGTCCCATTCGCTGTCTGGGCTGCTTGTAGAAGGGGCACGGGCCCTGAGCTGATGATGAGCCTTACCTGCCTGACTGTGCCAGGATCACCCAAACCCTCTTTGCTGCATTCTAATTTGATGAAGTTTGCATCTGCAAGTGTGACAGGTAAGTGTATATGTAGCGTGTATATGTAAGTGTGATGTACAAGTGTAGATGTAGCGTGTATGTATAAGTGTAATATACAAGTGTAGATGTAGCGTGTATGTATAAGTCTGATGTACAAGTGTAGATGTAGCGTGTAGGTGTAAGTGTTATATACACGTGTAGGTGTAGCGTGTATGTAAAGTGTGATATACAAGTGTAGATGTAGCGTGTAGGTATAAGTGTGATATACAAGTGTAGATGTAGCGTGTATGTATAAGTGTGATATACAAGTGTAGATGTAGCGTGTATGTATCAGAGGGATATACAAGTGTAGATGTAGCGTGTAGGTGTAAGTGTGATATACAAGTATAGATGTAGCGTGTAAGTGTTAATGTGATATACAAGTGTAGATGTAGCGTGTAGGTGTTAGTGTGATATACAAGTGTAGATGTAGCGTGTAGGTGTTAGTGTGATATACAAGTGTAGATGTAGCGTGTATGTGTAAGTGTGATATACAAGTGTAGATGTAGCGTGTAGGTATAAGTGTGATATACAAGTGTAGATGTAGCGTGTATGTGTAAGTGTGATATACAAGTGTAGATGTAGCGTGTAAGTGTTAGTGTGATATACAAGTGTAGATGTAGCGGGTAGGTGTAAGTGTGATATACAAGTGTAGATGTAGCGTGTATGTATAATTGTGATATACAAGTATAGATGTAGCGTGTATGTATAAGTGTGATATACAAGTGTAGATGTAGCGTGTATGTATAAGTGTGATATACAAGTATAGATGTAGCGTGTATGTATAAGTGTGATATACAAGTGTAGATGTAGCGTGTATGTATCAGAGGGATATACAAGTGTAGATGTAGCGTGTAGGTGTAAGTGTGATATACAAGTATAGATGTAGCGTGTAAGTGTTAATGTGATATACAAGTGTAGATGTAGCGTGTAGGTGTTAGTGTGATATACAAGTGTAGATGTAGCGTGTAGGTGTTAGTGTGATATACAAGTGTAGATGTAGCGTGTAGGTGTAAGTGTGATATACAAGTGTAGATGTAGCGTGTAGGTATAAGTGTGATATACAAGTGTAGATGTAGCGTGTATGTGTAAGTGTGATATACAAGTGTAGATGTAGCGTGTAAGTGTTAGTGTGATATACAAGTGTAGATGTAGCGGGTAGGTGTAAGTGTGATATACAAGTGTAGATGTAGCGTGTATGTATAATTGTGATATACAAGTATAGATGTAGCGTGTATGTATAAGTGTGATATACAAGTGTAGATGTAGCGTGTATGTATAAGTGTGATATACAAGTGTAGATGTAGCGTGTAGGTATAAGTGTGATATACAAGTGTAGATGTAGCGTGTAGGTATAAGTGTGATATACAAGTGTAGATGTAGCGTGTAGGTGTTAGTGTGATATACAAGTGTAGATGTAGCGTGTAGGTATAAGTGTGATATACAAGTGTAGATGTAGCGTGTATGTGTAAGTGTGATATACAAGTGTAGATGTAGCGTGTAAGTGTTAGTGTGATATACAAGTGTAGATGTAGCGGGTAGGTGTAAGTGTGATATACAAGTGTAGATGTAGCGTGTATGTATAATTGTGATATACAAGTATAGATGTAGCGTGTATGTATAAGTGTGATATACAAGTGTAGATGTAGCGTGTATGTGTAAGTGTGATATACAAGTGTAGATGTAGCGTGTAAGTGTTAGTGTGATATACAAGTGTAGATGTAGCGGGTAGGTGTAAGTGTGATATACAAGTGTAGATGTAGCGTGTATGTATAATTTTGATATACAAGTATAGATGTAGCGTGTATGTATAAGTGTGATATACAAGTGTAGATGTAGCGTGTATGTATAAGTGTGATATACAAGTGTAGATGTAGCGTGCATGTGTAAGTGTGGCATACAATTGAAGATGTAGCGTGAATGTATAAGTGTGATATACAAGTGTAGATGTAGCGTGTATGTATAAGTGTGATATATAAGTGTTGATGTAGCGTGTAGGTGTAAGTGTGATATACAAGTGTAGATGTAGCGTGCATGTGTAAGTGTGATATACAAGTGTAGGTGTAGCGTGTATGTGTAAGTGTGGTATATTAGTGTCGATGTAGCGTGTATGTGTAAGTGTGGTATATTAGTGTAGTTGTAGCGTGTATGTATAAGTGTGATATACAAGTGTAGATGTAGCGTGTATGTGTAAGTGTGGTATATTAGTGTAGATGTAGCGTGTATGTATAAGTGTGATATACAAGTGTAGATGTAGCGTGTATGTGTAAGTGTGATATACAAGTGTAGATGTAGCGTGCATGTGTAAGTGTGGTATACAATTGTAGATGTAGCGTGAGTGTATAAGTGTGATATACAAGTGTAGATGTAGCGTGCATGTGTTAGTGTGATATACAAGTGTAGATGTAGCGTGAGTGTATAATTGTGATATACAAGTGTAGATGTAGCGTGTATGTATAAGTGTGATATATAAGTGTTGATGTAGCGTGTAGGTGTAAGTGTGATATACAAGTGTAGATGTAGCGTGCATGTGTAAGTGTGATATACACGTGTAGATGTAGCGTGTAGGTATAAGTGTGATATACAAGTACAAGTGTAGATGTAGCGTGTATGTGTAAATGTGATATACAAGTGTAGATGTAGCGTGTATGTATAAGTGTGATATACTAGTGTAGATGTAGCGTGTATGTATAAGTGTGTTGTACTAGTGTAGATGTAGCGTGTA